TATGACGACATCCAATTTAACCTGGAATCAAAGATAACTCCAAGAAATTTGTGGTGAGTAACGGAGACTAGTTGATGGTTATTAAAATTTGATTTCACAGTGCTTGAAGTACGAGAAAAAGGTAGAACTGCAGACTTTAGGTCTGAAACCGTAAAGCCCCATTTAAAAAACTAATCGGCTAAATTATCCAGATTTGTTTGAAGACAGGTTTGAATGTGATTAATATTACGACCAGTTTTCCAGAGGACTAGATCATCAGTAAAAATACTATAATTCGTACCATTATTAATGAAGGAAGAACCAAGGTAATTAATCATTAGAAGGAACAAAATAGGGCTAATAACACTACCCTGGGGAGTGCCATTTTCCGAGACTCTTTCCCCAGAGACAACTCCATTGACTCTGACCTTAAAGGATCTGTTTGAAAGAAAGTCTTTAATCCAGTTAAAGAGGTGGCCATCAAAACCACAACTACTGAGTTTATATAACAAACCTTCTTTCCAGACCATATCGTATGCTCGTTCAATATCCAAGAACACAGACACTGCCTTACCTCTGTTACATAATGATTTGTTGACATCTTTATGTAGCTGTAACAAATGATCAAGTGGAAACTTCTTCCAACGGAATCCAAACTGAAACTGGTCGAAAAGTCTATGTTTTTCACAATACCAATTCAAACGGTATGCAATCATTCGTTCCATAATTTTACACATAGTAGAAGTAAGAGCGATTGGTCGATACGATGTAACAGAACTTGGATCCTTGTCTGGCTTAGGGATTGGACAAACTATGGCGTGTTGCCAGGATGAAGGGATGGTACCTTCATTCTATACCTTATTGAAAAATTCCAGCAGCTTTACCAAAAAATTGGGGTAAAATTTTTTATAGATTTTATAAGGAATTCGATCGTCACCAGGGGCCGAGTTTTTAGATCACTTTATTGCTTGGTTAATTTCACCGATCGTGAATTGAGCATTCAACCCATTACTATTATTTGGCTTCTTTGTAAAGGTGGCATAGTGGTCAAGTTCAAATAATTTTGTATGAGTTAAAAATTCGGGTGAATAATTGTCGGAACTGCTGATGTAGGCAAATTGATCAGATAGCGCATTTGCCTTTTCAACATCCGTCAGATATGTTGATCCAAGAGTTTTAAGGGTAGGAATAGAGATAGAACCCCCACCCTTCATATGCTTTACGAATTTCCATATTTTACTTAAATTTGATGAAGGTTGAAACTAGAGCAGTAATTACGCCACAATCGTTGTTGGAGTGCTCGAGTCGTATGTTGACAAATGGCCTTCTGCTTTTTATACTCAATATAATCGTCTAAGAGACGCGTTTTAAGAGCTTTCTTCCTATTCTTGTGTTTTTGTTTAACTGCTTTCTCACATTCCAATAAGGGGTTTGATGTTTTTCACAGTCTGTGGTTGATAGTGGGATAAATTTCTCTGCTCCTTCCACAGGGGCGGATTGGCCTATCGGGATACCGAGACTTGTCCCGGTGGGCCGACAGTCAAACTC